TCTACAAGAGTTGCATAAGAAAATTAATAAAAAAATTGAACAAAGCAATGCTAACTATAAACTTAATGCGGATCTCAAGAAATGATTCAAATAATTTGAAGTTGGAGACTTTGTAATGGTTAAAATTCGTCCAGAGTGGTTCCCACAAGAGAATGTTAAAAAGTTACATGCGAGAAGTGCATGACCTTTCAAAATAACTTCAAAAATAAATAGTAATGTTTATGTGCAGGACCTTCCTGAAGGTTTTAACATTAATCCTATGTTTAACATTGAAGATCTAGTAGTCTTTGAGGGTCCAGAGTTTAACCTCTCCAACCCACTAAATAATGAGCCTTGTGTGAACCCACATGGTGAGAACCCTAACCTAACCCAACTCCCAAACATTCCTATTTTACCCACTGCGGAGAAGGTTGAAGCAATACTTAGTGATGAGATTATTTCCACTAAAGACGATGGTTGCTGAAGGTATCTTGTTCAATGGACAAGAAAACCGGAGACGGAGAACACGTGGATTGACCGTGAGGAGCTGCAGAGATTGGATCCTGATCTGTTGGAGTGGTACGAGAGTTCCAAGGATGGTTACTTGAAGGGGTCGAGCTTTCTCCCACCTGGGGTGAATGATGAGGACATCGTTCAGAGATTCAGACATGTGTACTGGCGACGGAATCGTAGATCGACGGCAACGATTCAGAGTCTTTACTTTTGATGCATTTTTATATTTTATTTAGTTTTTTTTTCAGTTTTCCGAGTTTACCCCAATGAGGAGTGTTTTCTTATTGTAGCCTGGAGGGCATTTGTGTACTTTTCTTTTCTTTGTTTTTTAGACCTATATATAGCGGTCTTATGCTTTGTAAAAGCTTAATTGATGATTAAATGAAATTTTGCTTTGTCTTCTTTTTCTTCTTCTTGTGTGTGCACTACATAACAGAGAGAGCCCAACTTGAGGGCGAGCACAATACCCACCAATTATTGAAAGAGTCTACGGCTCGTGGTTTATCTTCCTTTCTCTTTTCTCCTTCGTCATCACCCGACGGCTTCTCCTTTCCCTTCCACCACCAACCTTCCTTTAAACTCCCTCTCTAGACCCAATTAAATTCCAACTCCCAAAACCCCACCCTCCAGCCTAAACCCCTTCCCCACCCCTAACCCAATGCCAACTCCTCTCTCTTCCCTTTGCCGCCGGCCACATCCTTGCTCCACGTCATTATAATGATTCCAACCATCTTAATGACTCCCTAAATTAGCTCAAGCAAGAAAGAAAGTTAAAATTATTTGAAATTCAAATTCGAATTTAAAAAACTTTCCATATTTACAATTCTAAATAAGGAAAGTTTTCAAACTTAATTCTAATCTAAATTTAATTTAGAGAGGATTTATTATTCTCCTTCCTAATTTGCAACGGCTTGTTTGGAAGTTATTTAAAACCTCCCCAATCCCTTCCCTCACCTCATAATGCTGCCAGCCCTCCATTAGTGGGCTTACCCTTGGTTTTCCTATTGAACCTCTAAACCTTAATTGAATTTGAATTCAATTTTCAAATTCAATCCCTCTAAATCTCCTTAAAACTGAAACTAATTTCAGAATTAATAAAAACCTCTACCCAACCCTAACCTAATCTAGATCCCACTTACCCAAGTCGTCCCCTCTCTCTCCTTGGCCACCCCTCCCACTTGCCTCCTCTCCCTTGGAAACCCTACACCTCTCATGTCTTTTGAAACGAAGAGAACAAGACAAGCTCCTTCCTCCTTTATAGCATTGGTGTATGGCCGACCCTGAGGTCGACTTCGGATTTGCCTACAACGCGCAAGGAGAAATCGATATCTTGCTCTCTCCTTTCTATGATCCGGATTGGGATTACGAAGACTTCGTGGAAAGCTACGTCAACCGCATTCTCTATTGCCTCGCTGAGACGATTGAATATCAATGACCCAAAAGACCATGGAAACTCATAGGCTAATCAACAACCTCTCCTCCTCCGGCTACTTCTCCAGTGAACAAGACCTTACGCGCGACTTATATTATGGTGGCATCATTAGAGTTGCTTCTACCGTTCCACCGCTAAACCCAACTTCAAGAGCGAGTGAGAAGGAACTCGTGGTGAATACTTCTTGATGTTATGCCGTGGATTCTTTTTTTGTTGTTATTAGTCTTACTATATTGTTTTTGTTGTTATTTGCAATTGTCTTGCTAATCTCTTTGCAATCGCTTGCTATTACTTAATCTTTTAACGAAAAATTCTAAGAATTTGACTTGGTGAAAAATAAGTTTTTAACTAGCAATAGTTATTGTTCAATATCTTGATAATTTTCCAAAGCAACTCTTGTTCACTTGTATGTATATGCCAATTTGAATAAGTGTTTCTTTGCACAACAGAGGGTGTAGTATATAGGACATGTGATGTCCAAATCAGGAGTAGCTGTCAATCTTTCCAAGATAGAGACTATGTTGGAGTGACCCTTTCCTAAAACCCTAAACGAGTTGAGAGGGTTCTTGGGACTCACAAGATACTACATGAAGTTTTTGAGGGGATACAGTTCTATAGCATGGTCGTTGACAGAGTAACTGAAGAAGGATAGTTTCAAATGGGGGTTGGCAGCCAACCAGGCATTTGAGCAGGTGAAGAAAGCCATGAAGAGTGTCCCTATGTTAGCACTACTAGATTGTAGCCAGCCCTTTGTAGTGGAGACTAATGCATTAGGTTCTGGGTTAGGAGCAATTCTTATGCAGAGTTAGAGACCTATAGTTTATTTCAGCCGGGTTTTGACCGCTAGGGCCAGGCTAAAATCAGTCTATGAAAGGGAGCTGATGGCGATAGTGTTGGCAATACAGAAGTGGCGACCTTATCTATTGGGACGACGCTTCATAGCCAGGACCGACCAGAGAAGTTTGAAGTTTATGTTAGAGCAGAGGATGGTGATAAAGGAGCATCAGTGGTGGCTTTCTAAGTCATTAGGTTATGACTTCGAGATCAAGTACAAGCCCGAGTTAGAAAATAAAGCAGCAGATGCTCTCTCTAGGTGTAGTAAAGACCCTCAGGTTATGGCTCTATCTATTCCCATGGTGGTGGATTGGGAGGCCTTGCAGCATGAGTGTGAGCAAGATGAGGTGCTGAGTAAGATCAAAGGAAATTTGCTCCAGGACAAGGCTAACCATCCTGGTTATTCTTTGATGGGTTAGAAGCTGCTATACCAGGGACGGTTTATACTTTAGAGAAAATCGCCATATCCCTCATTTGTTGCAGGAGTTTCATGGAACATCTATTGGGGGACATTTAGGAGTTCAGAAGACATATCATAGACAGACAGCAGAGCTATATTGGGTAGGCATGCAGAAGGATGTAGAGATGTTGGTGGCCAGTTATGATGTGTGTCAGAGACACAAATACCTAGCTATGGCTCCAGGTGGTCTTCTAAAGCCATTAGCATTACCCGAGGTGTGTGAAGAGATGACTATGGACTTTATTGAGCGAGTACCAAGATCAAATGGGTTTACTGTGACTCTAGTGGTGGTGGACAGATTGAGCAAATATGCTCATTTAGTTCCCTTACGTCACCCTTACACCACGGTGTCGAAGGCAACCACATTCATTAGAGAGGTAGTTCGTTTGCATAACATATCCGAGTCCATTGTGTCTGATCGGGATAAGGTCTTTCTAAGCCACTTATGGAGGAAGTTATTTAAGATGCAAGGGACTATTCTGAAGAGGAGTACAACTTACCACCCCTAGACGGATGGTCAGATGGAGACGGTGAATCATAGTGTAAACACTTATCTTTGTTGCTTTGTATCAAATAAACGAAAGATGTGGGCCAAATGGTTAGTCTAGGCAGAATATTGGTATAATATTTCATATGATACAACAGCCTAGACAACACCATTTAAAATTTAATATGGGATGGATCCACCTCATCTGATACATTATGGGCATGGCAACACACTAATGGAGTAATACTTGGGAGAAGAGACCGAATTTTGGCAGAATTGAAGGAACATTTACAGAAAGCACAACAAATCATGAAGCAGGCGTATGGACATAGGAGAGATGTGTAGTTTAAGGTTGAGGACAGTTTATTTGAAGATCCAACCTTACAGACAGAGGACTTTGACTCGACAAAGGAATAAAAAGCTCTCCCCCTACTACTTTAGACCTTACGAGGTAGTGGAGCGCATTGGATCAATAGCATATCGCCTACGATTGCCATCGACCTCAGCCATCCATCCCATATTTCTAGTATTGCAACTGAGACGAGCCATTGGAAACCACAGACCCTCGCTCGCACTACCAACCATAGTATCAGAGGATATGGATGTGATATTAGAACCATTGGAGATGAAAGGGGTGCGCCAAGGAGATAAGGGGATCATGGAGGTGCTGATCAAGTGGAAAGATTTACCATAATATGAGGTGACATGGGAGTTCTACAGTACTATTCAGAACCAATTTCCCTTTATCTACCTTAAGGACAATGTGACTTTTGGAAGGGGAGTATTGATGCAGCTGGCAGCAATAGTCAAGCTACGCATGTGGGGCCCAAGACCTCCTTTATCACCTATAGAAGAAGAAGCTTTGGGAGGAAACTCTGTGGGAAAAAGGGGGACTTTTTGGGAAAGATATAAGGGGCATTTAGTAGGGGATTTGAGATGTTTAAGGGGGGAGAATATGCTGGGTTAGTATTTTTTATATTATGTTTGGAATTTCTGCAGCAGCTTTTATGAGGTGTTTGGGATCCTAGTAGCTGCTAGGAATTGTGGGAGAGACGATTCACCTATCGAACAGTGAATCAACTTGTATCTTGTCTTACTTTGCTTGGAAATTAGTAAAAATAGCTCTTTTTGTGTTATTTCTGGATCTATTTGGAGTTGCTATTTTTTTTTATTGTTGTGTTGTTTGATTATCAACTCCTATCAAATTCCTCTCTCATATTCCCCTTCTACTCCTTTCTTTCAAAAAACAGTCAAAGACTATATGAAAATTTAAAAAAATGAAATGCTTGTATATGGAATACTGAAAGAACCTGCATTAGGAAACAATTACATACAAGAAACCATGGTAAAATCTGTAAAAAATAACCTCACTTATTGTCGGTTGTGTTCCTGTAGAATTGGTAAAACGAGTCCCAATGCTTAGCCTGCAGGGAAGCAGTAAGTAATTACTGTAATAAGTTATTGATTTCTATGAATTAACTTGATAAGTTTGATCAAGTAGCAAATTCAATTGAAATACTCATATAGAAAACAAACAAAAGGCGTCTATAATATCCATTGTCCATGCATATCAAGCTTTTATACCATGATAAATTAATAGAAGGAAAAAAAAAATAAACAAAATAAGAACTTTGTTACAAGTTTAAAGACAGTACATCACTGCTTTAACCATTAAGAAAATAAGGACTGCATGAAGCTCCACCAATACAAGGTATGGTGAGGAGTCTGAGGGATTGATGCATTTCGTCGTTATAAATATCAAAATAGAGAACCAACAGGTATCCAATCCTAGTACAAGCCACATCAAGGTCAATTAGATTCGAAGTGCTGATTGCAGCAGCTCATTCGCATGATTTTTAAATATTGTCAGGAAACCAAGAAGCGTAGCCTCTCACTTATCAGAAAATATCAAGATTCTAAATTTTATGTAAGGGAAACCTACATGCATAGCACTCAGAACCTAGTGAAACACACCTTAAACATCAAATTCATAAATATTACATTTAGCATCCTGAATTATTAATTCTCACACCATGTCCATTGCTGTATAAACCAACTGGAGACGGGACTATTCCATTTAAACCACAGGGTTAAAACATTAAATTCATATAATTTACAAATTCTGATGATCGCCCCCAACGAAGTTCTCAAGATTATGAATGATCCCTTAGCAGAGGAACTTGCAGTTGAATAAGCATAGTGCAAGGCTTCTTTGGCTACATGTAGCGCCTGAGTAACACTACTCTTCCCACATGAACCCCAACATGGGGCAGCTCCTTGTCAGATAACTCCATAAGTGGTTTGCACACAATTGAAACACGCTACATAGGGCTAGTGCGGCTAGAGAAGCCTCATGCAAGGCAACATTGAACACAGGCAACCCCACCTGCACCTATTGCCACCCCTCTTTAACCGCTCAGCAAGTTCGCTACACTAATATTAATAATCACCAACAAACATGTATGACAACATATTTTTGGCCACTATAACAATCAACAATAACCTGTAGCATAATGACCACCTTGCACATGGGTAAGATAATATTTTTTTCTTGTTTGAATGATTTCATGACAAGCCGCTTGCTTACTTGGATTAACATAATCATATTTAGTGGCGTTCAATTAAGAGTTGATAGTTTAGAGTGTTTTAATAGGAGAAAAAATTAAAAATAGACCACCGCCATTTAGCAAATGCCCAATAGTCCTGGAGTTTCAAACTACCCCACTTTAATCCCTCGATTATTGAAAATTGATCAAATTTTATCCTAGGGCCAAAAATAATAATTAAAATTAATACCAAAACTAAATGTGAGGATATTTTAGATAGTGCAAATATATGTGAGATTTTATTGCTTATGTTGCTCTATGTTGTCATTTAATAAATTATAATAGATTTAAAATCAGAATAAAAGTTAACCTAATACATAATAAGGACGAATAATTCATAAAAGAATATTTTCTGTTAAACAAAATCTAAATGAAAGATCATACATAAAAGAATTTGTCTTTGTTGGAGACAGTGATTTGCCTCTCACATGCCCAAAATCTTATTTTCAGCCCTTTCAGATATTGATTCGCTACTCAAGCTTTGCTCTCATTAGTAGAATTACAAACCCTAGTTGCTCACACACTTATTGTTGGAGAATGCCACACGCTACTTCACTAACTCACTGCACTTAGTTGAAACTCCATAATCCTTCGCCACTCAATCTCACACTCAGAATGGATGACTTCAAAACATAATGAGTTGCAGCACTATTAAAAAAAATCATTTATACTAAAATGCCTCTCTTACATTATGAAAACCAGGAGATTTCCAGAATATTCAATAAATTTGATAGATTTTTAAATGGAGAGATCAAATTGGATCAATTTTCAATTATTGTAGGACTAAATTGGGATAGTGAGAAACTCTAGGACTAAATTGGACATGTCCTAATAGTTGTGAAACTACTTTGGGCTTCTTTAAGATTTGATATTAAAGGAGAAATATTCAGATTTTCTTAAATATATTATGTGTGATTAATCAAATAGATGTTAAATGCAATGGCACTTTTAACTGCATCATAATGGATCTGAGAGTCAAAAAGTACAAAAGTATGAAACATACAAAAACATGGTTCCTATTCATGGGCAAATTGGCAGAAAAAATATATATAGCAGGTTCTTTCTTCTCATTAACTAGTCTATGAATGTGTTGGAAGTTGATTACCTTTTTGGTGGGTGAGAGACTGGGAACAAAAAGTAATGAGAGTGGAAGGATGAACCCTATCAAAAAACAAAACTTAACCTTTAAGATGCCAAAGTGAAATAGTATAAACTATAAGTGCATGATCAAGAAAATTAAGAAAATAACAATTCAAGAACTCCAAACGATAAGGAAAACTTCATACTAATAATAAAAATGATAGAGAACCAGATGGAGAGTGCATAGGAAGAAAATTGATCAGATCATATTACCCACCATGACATGAGAGAACTGGATTACAACTGAGCAGCAAAGGCGCGACAAATCAAAATAGTTCAGTTGAAAAAAAAAAAAGGCGGAGTTGAAAAAACCCAAATATTTAGATTTTCGGATGAGGAAGCCAGAAGCAACAAGAATCAAATCCATAAAAGTAAGAAGTGTCCTCAAGGAATTAATAGTACTCTGTGGAGTAAAGACAGTTTAAATCCCCAAAAAGGGTAGTTAGGAAAAGCTTCAACATTATTTGTAGCAAATCTATAAAGGGACCTATGCAAATATCTTTATAACAAGGACAACAGGAAGCAACATATATATGACTTAACAACATAGTAAACCTATTGTAACATGTTAAAGATTGAAGGTTAGACGTATTGAGAGTCAGACTTAGGCAAATCTTTAAAGGAAATGCGATGTTATCTATCATATCCCAAAACATCATAGTTTGGTTTCTGAGTTGAGCTATCAAGAAAGACCTAACACAAGGCAATTAGACATAAAACCAGACAATAACAAAACTTGATGTCAATGGAAAGAGAATTGAGAAAGAGGAAAAGACAGAAAAATCTACACCATTAACTTTCCTTTAATAAGCCTACTACCGTTTTATGAGAAAAGCAATACATTATTCAAAATCTTCACTTGTATCGACATTTAAACTGACACAAACAAGATATGAAAGAATCACGTCCATTTTGTTTGCAAAAGAATTAAGCAACAGAATGATGAGTATCATAAGCTGTTATCATATTAAAGAGAATGCCATCAGTTACCTTAATTTCATCCCCACGAAGGCGCTTCATTTTTAAATTCTGGGCAAGTATCTGTTAAACAATTTCATGGTAAGCGAAAGAAATGTGCTTGCAAAGCTAACCAGCTATGACTAATCCTCTGGTTAAAAATACAAATATAAGGGAGTACATTAGTGGCAAATGAAAAAAAGACCTTCTAGGCAACTTCGAGATGGTTCAATCACAAAAATATGTTCCAAATTTCTAATATTAATGCTTCAAGTACTTTCATTGACAGATGGTTCAACCACCTTGCATGGCTGCAACAGCCTAGCAGCTAGCATAAGACAACATTGGCCACCCTGCATGCAGCTGCAAATGGAGGAAGAGTAGTCGAGAATGTGGTGAAGAGAATAAAATCATGAGGCCAAATGTTTGAGAGAAAAATGGTGCCAGCGGAACCTGAAGATGCAAATGGCATGATGTCTCCATGATCGCAATAGAGGAGGCAACATGGTGGTAGCTAGGGTTGCAAACAAACTGAATGTTTAACAAGCTACTCGTTGTTTAACTAATTAAATAAGCTTGAACAATTTTGGGTAATCAAGTCATTAATAAGAGTACACGCTTTAGATATCTTGGGTCTATTGTTTAGAATGATGGTGAAATAGATGGGATAATATTATTAGTAGAATTTAAGTTGGATGGTTGAAGTGGAGAAATGCATTGGGTTTATTGTGTGATAGAAAAGTATCTCTCAAACTTAAGGGAAAATTCTATAAGATGATAGTGAGAGCTGCAATGCTTTATGGTGCAGAATGTTGGTCAGAAAAAGAGAAGCATAATGTTAAGTGTTGCAGAGATGAGGATGCTCAGGTGGATGAGTGGCTTTACTCTTACATACATGATACAAAATGAGCATATACATGAAAAGGTTGGAGTAGCTCCAATGGAACATAAGATTAGAGTCTCTTTAGATGGTTTGATCACATAAAATGGCGACCTTCCAATGACCCCGTAATAAAAGTAGATGTATTAGATTTGGCTTATGTTAAGAAAGGTAGATGTTGACCTGTAACATTAAAAAAAAAATCAAAAAATCAAATCAAATCTCACCTGCTTTGCAGGAGCCACGATCTCGGCACGACTCACATGACGCACGTCGTCGCCCACGTCTCACAATCCCTCACCCTGCCTCGCTCGTCGTTAAAAGGGCGAAGGGACGAGGCCTTCGGTCTCTTGGCACGATCCCACTATCTCGCTCCCGCTCTCGGAAGACTCCCGCTCTCCCTCTCGTCGCTTCCTACCTTCGCTTGTTCGATGACGTGCCCTTCTTGTTCGGACGGAAGTTATGACATCTGGATCATAAGCAACAGTGGGTACTCGCTGGCTGTGAAGTGATCTCCCTCCCTTTCGATCGCTTCCTCAGCTCTTTCGTGGCCGGTCGACTTTGCTCCCTTCAACGATTTCCCTTCCTGTAGGATTGGGATTTCAACATTTTGATCGGAAGCCACAAGGGAAGCCCGCCGATTCTGAAGGAAACCTTCTCCCTTTCGCGTCTCCTTCGGTGCCGGCCAACTTTGCTACTTGACGACTTTCCCTTCCTAAGGATCAGAAGTTAAGACATTTCGATCGGAAGCAATCACGGGAGCTCGAACTAATGATTATTATAATTAATAATTAATTATAATAAATAAACTATTCCCTCTCTTGCCTCGGCATGCATGTCGGGCCAGCAAACCGTCCATACACGCTTTTCTCTAGCGTGGTGGGAAGGGAAACCAGCACGACACCTACGGCGAGGTAGGTGAGCGACCCCTCGGTTCCAAAATCTTGTTCTCGGTATTCATGTCGAGCCGGCAAACCGCCTATACATGCTTTTCTCTAGCGTGGTGGGATGGGAACCCGGTGCGGCGCCTACGGCGAGACCGGGATATTCATAAGTACCCGCTCGCGGGGAAACAACTGCTTATCTTGCAACAGGTACCGAAGACTCATACATGCCTTTCTCTGGCGTGGTGGGGACAAAGACTTTACACGGCTGCGGTGTCCTCGTAAGAGGGTACCTATCGTACACTCTTTTCTCTAACGTGGCGGGAGGACCAGTTTTATGTAGTTTTCCCCTAAATGGGGGAGGCGCCGGAAGGCTGCCGAAATTTCGGGTGAACATACGACTGCACTCGGACCTGTTTTGAACTCAAAAAGAACAAGAACTTGGACTCAAAGAACAACAGATGACTCAAGGACTTGTATTTGGACATAACTCAAATGACTAAGCAAGACTTGAACCTAAATAAAATAAAATTAAACTGAAGCCAAATTCAAATCAATTTAAATATGAAAATGAACTTGCAAAGATTTCATAAAATTGTGGACATAACACTTAAACCTTGACTTGAATTTAAATGAGCTTGGCACAAGGAGTTTTGACTTGAGCTTGTACTCGGGACTTGAGTTGAGCATTAATAGCTTGAATAATGTGAACTCAAGCTTGTGGACTTGATAGAACCCAAACTTGAAAATGACACAGGAGTTAGCTCAAATGATTAATGAAATACCTGAATCTAAATGAAACAAGTTAGAACTTGAACTCTGAGCTGAATTTTAAGCAAGTGTGACTTGAGCCTTTCATATTCAAGCTCAAATGAATAAGGGACCCGTACATGAGTTGGTTACAAGCTTTGGCATGAATTAACTTGTAACGATCATCTCAATTGGGGTGCGAATGAATGAAGATATCAAGCTTAGCATGCACGAGGGATAATGTGTGGCATTTACACTAATCCTTGCAAATGAATGTGACTAAGATGCAACAAATGCGAACGCCCACGAGCCCTTGTAGGAAAGATATTGCAATATCCTCCCAAAATCAAGATACAAGCAAGTACGCTACAAGACCTCAATGCATGCGAATAAAGAATATACTGGACTCTTACAACAGTCTCTACGAGATCGGGTGCATCGTACCTGTAAGAATGAAATGCATGGGTGTCCCTCCTACATGCACTATTGAAATCTCCAACACAAACAACAAATGCCTGTTGATTGAAAAAGGAGATACTGGAGACCGATAATGGAGGACCCGCCCCTACAAGCAAGTGCAATCATCAAACCACCTGAGATTTTTGAAAGGCCAATATGATGTAGGGACAACGGCTCTTCTACAAACACTTCTAGGAGGTCGTAGTGGATACAGCGGTACCCTGCAAATGAATACTTGTGGGTAACAACAGTGGGTGTATCATAAGTACAACGAACCACTGTGGACACAAGTACGGATATCACCTACGACAACAGTGATTGATATCTTCAAGTACGTCGGGTACAAGGGAAACTCGATGTACGAAAAAGGACACCTCCTAGCGGAATGGAAGAGGTGTTTGAGCAAATTCAAACTAAACTTACTGGTGTTCTAAAATTTCTTCATCATCTTACACTTAAGAAGAAGACAGCGCTTGCATCTACAAATATCAAAAACAGTAAGTCTACTACACTGATGATCCTGAAAAGAGTTCTTTTCAAGGCAGTGTCAATGAATTTCAAGAAGAACCTCCCCGGTGAATGAGAAAAGGAGAGTCAACATCAAGATGATCAGATGCCTCATAACATCCAGATAATACCTCCACCGGATCCGTAACACCCATATTAGCGGACAGCAGGCGTGTATAAATTCTCAAATGAAATGTTGTGTATTCAAATGGCAGTTGCCTGCACAACTACAAATATTTCAAAATACCCCTGCACGTGCACCGTAGCTTGTATACACATAGGTACACAAAGGGGTATGTCAAATCAATGAAATTCTAAAATACCCGCATGGGCCCCGGCGAGCGTGTTATTGGTACACACGTAACGTCTAGGGACTGTGCGGGTCGATAAGTGAATTCAAGTTCGAACCCGATCCTTTTATGCGGATCAATAGGAGTCGACAAGATTCGAACATTCAAAAAAATACACGGTTGTGGCGACCGGTGTATTTGTTTTAATACATTTATATTAGGCCATCAAGGCCTATAATCAAAAGAATTCACTAACAAAAGCACGAAGCCTACAAAACTCAATCCTCCTAAGCATGTAAATAGGAGTAGACAGGGTTCAAACTATCGAATAAATATACGGTAACGAAATTGACCGAAATATTTATTTTGTACATTCATATTAGGCCTTCAACACCTTTAACAAAGAAAATTCACAAACAAATGCATGAATCCTACGAAACCCAATCCCCTATCGGCAAGTTGATAGGGTCGACAAGATTTAGTCAATGAATAACCCCACACCCCGATGATGGCTGTGTTGAACGAAAATCTCAACCGAAGGGGTCCATTCCAAATACTTCAAATGCCGCCCAAACTCCAAAATTCCACAAAAATCTCAAAAATCATCCAAGTTTAAGATATTTAAATCTGAAATCAACCATCCAATCAATTAAAGAAAAATTCATCCACCCTCCACAACAGTTTGCTGGGGTGGACAAATCAAAATTTACTTCAGCTCACATAGAGCTAATGCCTGGTCGAAAATATCACTATGATCCATTCTCAAATAATCTCCTGTCAGTAAAGACGTGGTACGTGTCCTCTGATCGGCAGTTTTGCCGCCAAATGACACCATAGGATAAACAGTTATGACCCGCGGCCCTCTGAACCGAGTGATTTTGCCATCAAATGGCACCACGAAATACCGGTTATGGCCAGAGCTAATACGCTCCTTAGTGGCATCAAATCCTTAAGATATAAATCAATAGGATATGATCGATAGGGCACAAAGCCCTCTGTTAGCTAAGGTATATTCAAATTTGTCCCCTTAGACAAATATCCATTACAGGTCTACAAGGTCCCCTTGGACGAAGCAACCCATGGCTGCCGACAAGGATCCTTCAGTCAGGTTGGGTCAATTACCTCCTCTGACTAAGTAGACCAGGCACCACGATGGCCCGGGACGACGGAACCATGGGATCTTGATCGAGTCTATCATCCATTCCCCCACCATCCGCTTTAAGTGCACGATGGTGCAATTTCTATTTTAAATATCAATTTTCTAAATCTCCAAACTCTTCAAATATCTATGCTTATGCTGCTACTATATGCCAGATACTACGTATCTGATTGACGACTAGCCTTAATCGTAAGTTCTCTCTCATTATCGAGAGGGGTAATTAACTATAGGGGCTTGCACCTATAGCAAACCAGAACTCAGATTATAAAGTCCTTATAAAATGAGGGCGAAATCTCTGGGTAGTGTCTTATCTACAAACACATCTGCCTTCCAAAATTTACCCCGAAACTTAGTTCGTTAAAACTCCCTCGCCGAAGAAAAAGCAAACAACAATAGCGGGCGGAGGCCGGGGCCGAATTTTCGGAGCCCACAGTAAAGATAGAACTAAAAAGACTTGAATAGAAAATATAAGAAATGACCTTTCTTTATTAGATTATGATAAGAATTTGACTCTTAATATGACACAATAAAGAAAAGAGATTTACGTAGCTGACCCCACAGCAGGATAAATGCTTGTTGTTGTTGTACTCTAATTTTCAATCACATAAGAATAAGTCTTCTACTATCAAAACATCATATGAAAAAGCATACAACATGGAGTCCCATTTTGAATATGTTTTCTACCTTTCTCCCTTGCCATTTAAAAAGAAAATAGATGTCAAATAATAATCATACATTACAATAACAAGCTTACATATATAAACAACGTTTAACATTGATAGGGATTTCAAAAAAGAAACTAAGTCAGGCACATTAGCAACAGGGCTGAATGCCTATAAGTCATCATAGAAATTTTCATTCAACTTAGACTAAAAGAACTGCACCAACCTTTTTCCTCTCTTGACGGATAGTTTTTCGTTTACTTTGCTTCATATCCATCAAAAATTCATCAAAACTATCAAAGAAGGCAAGCGTGTTAAACATCCAACAAAGTTCATTATACTGGTCATAAAATGCCTAAATGGGTGAGTACAGTAACATATTTTTACTATGCAGAAAACAATGCTAGGAAAGATGAACGCTAACTGAAGGACGTAACATGAGATAAGTGATAATACTATATTTAGACCACAATGAAGTCCATTAAGCGCAGAAGGGATATTTCCTGCGGAAAGAGCATAGAGCTCATGAAAGAGAAAGTGCCTGATTTTTTTATTCCACTGCCAACAATACTAAAGATGACAGTTAAATTTAATTCTAACTTAGTATCACAAGAAATAAACAAATGACACAAGGGAAAAAAAATGAATTTCAATGCAAATGAGACGGAAATGTAAGAAAATATCGTCAAGTTAAAATGAGAATAGCACATCAAAAAACCACAAAAACTAAAAACTATAAGGTCTAAATAAGGAAGCTGAAGATAAATGCTATTTACTGGACCAGTAAATGGAGGCAATGCAATCTAATGGACAAGTAAAAGGGAGAAAACCTATCTCCTGAACCAAAAAAAACCTATAAAAGAAAAAAGTTGCAAATGCATCGACAAAGCATTAGACTATTTGAGAAAAAGGGAACTTTATTAGCCTCCTTGTTACAAGAAGAGCCAGAGGTTGATGTAAGGCATTTTAAATATACAGCAATGTTACATACAAGTATAGGCTGGCAGCTTATATATTTCTTATTCACGAAGCTATTGGTATGATAGATACACACTCAAAAACAACTACCACAAAATAGTTTTTCAGGAAAAATATAAAATATGCTATGGCACCGATAGCTAGTGGTGTTGTCCTCTTAATATTCAAATGATGGGCAAAAGCAAAGATCTAGTTTAGGTTTCTTTCAAAGATTTAGTATTAAGAAAATTTCCTGCTCTACGGAAAAGAAAATTATTTATTCTCGACATATAGTGCAAGATGGAAAAAGAAATCAAAATGTAAACTAAAATAGGTCATTAATAAATCTTACTCAGGCTGCAATCAACTAGCTAGTACATTAAAGTTGTACAGTGAGTGGAATTAGAAAGGTGAAATAATAACAATGCATTCTTTTCTGAAAACAAGTTGTTAGTCAAGAAGCATGCACTCATCAGAAATAGCAATCAATTGATAATGGTTTCACAATGGAGTAACCAGATGGAAACTGGGGCAACTTACTTTTTGTAGTTACGGTTTTTCCAGTGATATTGCATTCCTATTCTCTGTAGAAATCCAAAATTTTTCATTTGCTTCCATTCACTTTCCGATGGAAAGGTTACATGTAATGATGACACCTGAAACTGTCAAAAAATAATAACAATCGCTCATTTCACCAGAATAATCTTTCCACAATTAAGGCATTCCATCCCTAGTAAATAACTAATGTTACATGCATAACTCATTTTTCTTACGTAAGAAGTTGCATAAATCGAATCTAAAATGCAAGATTTTATAATAAATTAATGAAAGGCAACGTTTGCAACAGAAAATATCACTGTATATAGAAGCAAAAATTATTAAAAACTTGAGAAAAACAAATAGAGGCCTTGTCAGAATTTTGCTGATCCAAGATAAAGCTTCCCAGGCAAGGGTGGAGCCCGAAATATTTTTAGCAGGGGAATAAATTGGAAGTTTTAAAAATAGACTCAACATTTTTTAGCAGGGGCATACAGGGTTGGTTGGGCATTTAAGTGCCTTAATTACATCAGGATCAGTAATATTTTTGGAATTTGAAGATGAATATTTCAAAATCTATTACTATAGCATTTTTTTTTCTTATTTTCATTCATACAATAAAAAATTATAAAAATAAATTATATTTCTGATATTAATGTTAATAACCTTGTCTTTATTAATATTCATAATCTTATTTTCAAAAAATATTATTATTATTTTTAGATAAAGACAACGTCGTTTCATGAGAAAATAATATATAGTTAAGACTATTATATTAAAAAAATTATGATCCTATTTTCACTAATAAGAAAATATAATAATATATTATTGTTTTCTATATTTAAGTACTATGATATTAATACTAGTGATTATAATTTAAAAAAATAAAAATTAAATTAAAATCAAAATAAATAAAAATTTTAACCAAATTTTATCCTAATCTTTCCTGCAGGCTACAGATAATAATGCCTCCCCCCAACTCATCTCTCTCCCTCTCCCTCATTCTCAGTTAATACTTCTAGCTGCTATAAGCCTAAGCCCTGAGCACTGCAATGCTAGTATTCCAGCTAATAGGTTAGGGATTTATATAAAAGTATAATAATTTTTTTAATAAGTTGTTTTGGGTCAAGCCAGTGTGGGCGGTGCAACCACTGTAGATCCACCAACGTTCCCCAAAAAAAAAACCAAAATGCTCTATAATATATCTCAATTTTTTTATAAGTGCTTTATAAATTGCCTGTATTTTTGGGATATATTCAACGTATTGAGATTAGTTGATTTGCAGGATATAACACAATACCCCGACTGAAAGGTGCACATTGTTAGCATAGTTTGAATGGACACTACCTTCAAAATTCGAATAAAATTCAAAATAGAATGAATAGGCTTTCTGAATTTTCACTCCCAGCACTGTACCAGAACACTTCTAAAATCCTAGAAGGCAATAAACGAGCAAAAAAATGCATGAGGCTCTTAGTAAACGGAATCTAGGGAAAGTAGGTGTACAAAATCTAATCCCTACAATACAGAAAGGTGGTTTGCATGATTTGAACCCAAACCCTACGCCACCTTAGAGAGCATAATCATTGCTCCAAAACTGCCCTTTTATTGCAAAAGGAATTAATAATTGAAGTGCTCAAAATTAAAATAAAAGAAATAAATTACTCATTCAATAAGATGCCCAGAAGACAGAAGGATACTATACAACAACAATAACAACATCAAGCCTTTATCCCACTACGCGGGGTTGGCTACGTGAATCCTTTTTTTTTCATTATATTCTGTTAAGAGTCAAATTCTCATTTAAACTAATAAAGAAATGATTTCTAATATTTTCTAATAAGCAGCAGCAGCAGCAACAACAACAACAACAAGCATTTATCCCATTATGTAGGGTTAGCTATGTGAATCCTTTTTTTTTCATTATGTTCTATTAAGAGTCAAATTCTTATTTAAATCTAATAAAGAAATGACATTTCTAATAGTTTCTAATCAAAGTCTTTTTAGGCCCATATTTAACTCTAATACATTTACTACATCTACTCTCCTTTCTAATACATCTACTCTCCTAACCGGATCAACAAAAGGCTGATGTTTTATATGACTAAACCATCTAAGGAGAATCTCTCTAATCTTATCTGCCACGGGAGCTACTCCAACCTTTTCAGATATATGCTCGTTTCGCATCCTATCTCTAAGAGTAAAGCCACTCATCCACCTGAGCATCCTCATCTCTGCAACACTTGTGGGCTCCAAAAATTCGACGCCGACCTCCGCTTGCACTATTATTTGTTTTTTTTTTTTTTTTGCGAGGAGTTTTAACGGAATTAAGTTTCGGGGTAAATTTTGGGAAGGCATATGGGTTTGTAGATAAGATACTACCCAGAGATTTCACCCTCATTTTGAGAGGACTTTATGATCTGAGTTCTGGTTTCCTATAGGCGCAAGCCCCTATAGTTAATTACCCCTCCCGATAACGAGAGAGAACTTTCGATTAAGGCTAGTCGTCAATCAAATACATAGGGATACATGTATCTGGCATATAGTAGCAGCAATGGTTTAGATTTGAGAATTGATTGAGAATTGAAGAGTTTGTAGGTTTGATATTTAAAAATAAAAATTTTCACCATCTTGTACTTAAAGCTAATAGTGGGGGAATGGATGATGGACCCTATTAAGATCCAATGGTTCTGTCGTCTCAGGCCATCGTGGTCCCTGGTCTACTTAATCAGAGGAGGTAGTCGACCCAACCTGACAGAAGGATCCTTGTCGGCAGCCATGAGTTGCTTCGTCCAAAGGTACCTTGTAAATCTGGGGTGAATGTTTGTCTAAGGGGACAAATTTGAATCCACCATAGCTAACAGAGGTCTTTTTGCCCTATCGATCATATCCTATTGATTCATATCTGAAGTATTTGATGTCACTAAATAACGTATTAGCTCTGGCCATAACCGGTATTTCATGCTGCCATTCGGCGGCAAAATCACTCGGTTTAGAGGGCCCCGGGTCATAACCGTTTATCCTGCGGTGGCATTTGGCTGCAAAACCGCCGGTTAGAGGACACGTACCACGTCCTTACTGATAGGAGATTGTTTGAGAATGGATCCTAGTGATATTATTGACTAGGTATTTGGCTCTATGTGAGCTAAAATAAATTTGAATTTGTCCACCACGGCAAACTGTTGCAGAGGGTGGATAGTTTTTGTACTTTAAGTGTTCAATGGATGGATTTCATTTTTTAAATATCTGGATTTTAGGATTTTCCAGAGTTGAATTTTCGTGGATATTTGAGTAGAGTTTGGATACCTGAAGTTAACCCCTCCGGTTGAGATTTTTTGTTCAACACGGCCATCATCGGGGTGTGGGGTCATTCATTGACTAAACCTTGTTGACTCTATCACCTTGCCGATAGGGGATCGGGTTTCGTAGGCTTTGTACCTTTGTTTGTGAATTTTCTCTATTAAAAGCCTTGAAGGCCTAATATGAATGTATAAAATAAATATTCCGGTTAAAATTGTGACGGCATATTTATCCGATGATTTGAACCCTATCCACTATTATTTACTTGCTTAGGAGGATCAGGTTTCGTAGGTTCCATTCCTTTATTTAGTTAATTCTCTTAATTATAGGCCTTGAAGGCCTAATATGAATGTATTAAAATAAATATACCGGTCCCCACAACCATGTATTTGTTTGATGGTTCGAACCCTGTGGACTCCTATTGATTAGTATAGGAGGATCGGGTTCAAACTTGAATTCACTTATCGACCTGCGCAGCATCCCTAGGCGTCACGTGTATACCAATAACACACTCGCCGAGGCCCATGCGGGTCGACATTGTATTTTCCCCTTTCGTGTACCTATGTGTATACAATTTATAGTGCACGTATAGGGGTATTTTGGAATATTTTAGTTGTGCAGGTAATTGCCATTTAAATACACAACATTTCGTTTGGGAGCTTATATATGCCTTTTCTCCGCTAATATGAGTGTTGCGGATCCGGTGGCGGTATAATTTTGAAGTTATGAGGCATCTCGCCATCTTAACGTTGATTCCCCTTTTCTCATTCACCGGGGATGTCCTTCTTGAAATTCGTGACGACTGCCTTGAGAGGAACTCTTTTCAAGATCACCAGTATAGTAGACTTATTGCTTCCGATGTTGTGGAGACCAAGAAGAAACTTTGGAACACCAAGAAGTTTAGTTCTAATTTGTTCAAACATCCCTTCCATTCTATCAGGAGGTGTCTCTTTTCGTACATCGAGTTGTCTTTGTACCCGACGTATTTAGGAATCTCAATCACCGTTGTCATAGGTGATTTCCGTAGTTGTGCCCACGGTGGTTCGTTGTACCTACGATATATCCACTGTTGTTATCCACAAACGGCTTGTATTCATTTGTAGGGACTCGTTGTATCCACTATGACCACTTGGAAGTGTTCGTAGAAGAGCCATTATTCCTGCATCATATCCACCTTTCACCAATCTAAGGTGGTTCTGATGTACTAGCTTGCAAGGACGAATCTTCTAATATCAATTGATAATATTGCCATCTCAATTTACAGGCATATGTAGAGATTGTCGTAGGAGTTCGTTGCATTCATCTTTCGTATGCATCGGGATTTCATCTTCCACTTGCAACTTGTTGTTAGCTTAGAGAACTGTGCATTTAGACTTTGATTTGTTCATTCATCCAAAGCACAGTCCTATGTGTTCCATCAGGCCCGAGTTCAAGGTTCAATTCATGCTCGAGTCTTGTATGTTGTTATGGGTTTAGCTCTTTGCATCCCATTCAATCTCAAGCTCCTTGATTTCCCTATTGTGCTTGAAAATTCAGGTTCTTTATTGTTCAAATCTCCTTGTATATGATTCAAGCTTGAGTTCTTTACATATGTTCGAGTTCGAGTTCAGTTTCATTCAGGCTTGGATTCAAACTCAGTATGAGTCTTCCACATTCATTCAAGTCTTCTACTATCATGCTGAGTTCATCCAGATTTGAATCTAATACTTGCAAATCCAAATTTCACTTGGCATTGTACAGTTCAAGTTTAAATGCATAAGTTCTTGTTGTCCACATCTTGTTCTAGTTTTGAGTTCAGAGTACAATTTCAAATATTTGGTTCGGT